TGGTCTATGTGGTAACAATTAGTTATCCGCACATATACTGTGCCTACATGAAGATGACATTATTTGTACTGGGAGCAGTTAGTTCAACTCCAGTGCTGACAGAAAGAAATTACACGCAGCAGTTACTGCTATGCAGATAAAGAGATTATGCCACCAACTGAACTGGAAGTCCACAATGTGCCTACTAATCTTAAGTGTTGAAATAGAGCATAAACATAATCAAAATAGAAGTACGAATGCTACTGGAAAAAAGCCATAGAGAATACAACATTCTTCCTTTTCAATCAAATGTGTGTCATGGTCTTGAATAGGAACCCAAAATTAAAGTTCAATGACAGAATGTATTATTATGTAACAGCAGGGTCATTGATGGCTCTGTCAGCAAATGATGCATGAGACAGCTTTTTGATGACAAGGTTTAGAAAGATTAGTTGAATTGATTTAAAGGATTAAGTGGCATCGTGACGATCATAAATTAAACCTATCACTTACATTACACATGTCAGCATCCAATTTGACTGACTTGTGAAAATGAGCATATCATGGAGAGTTTTCATTTTTGAAGTCTAAAGATTCTTTCATTTATAAGGAAAATAATCAATGAGGGCTCTAGTGGAAAATAGTATCCAAAAGCCAAAACCAAATATGACGAAATGCTTTCATACTACTAGTTACAACCAAAGAACAGCCTCGAACTCCTTCTGATGACAGCTCACAACAGGTAACAGCCCTGTGTTCCCGATCTTATTCAGAATGGTCTAGTCAACAAAGGTCTGATGGAGTGCTGAAGAAAACACTATTGAGAGGTCTCCTGGGTCCACACGGGACCTCAGCATTTCAAACCTTCTGGCAGAGACTCAAACTCCTGCAGCTATTCTTTTGTTTTGTTTTGTTTTTTTAAAATTTAATTAATTGCATATTGCATTATGTGACACAGTTTTATAGGCACTGGGATTCCCCTCACTCCTGCAGCTATTCTTGCTCAGAGCAGTTATTGAGCATTTTCTAACCAAGTAGCAAGAAAGCAAAAAAACAAATCAATCAACTCAATAAATAAATACCAAAAAATAATAACAAAATAAAGCAACAAAAGAACCTGAGGGTAGATCTCGATTCAAGAATGTCTGTTTCAGATCTTTTTTTTTTTTTCGAATAATCACAAATAGTTCCTATAACTGTCATGAGACTTACCAGTAATTTGAACCAAAATTTAGTTATACAATTAAAATTTAGTTGATTAATCTTTTCAAACAATTTCAAATTGTTGATCTGTAAATCCACAGAGGACCCACTTATTAAGTTTGGCCAAAGAAAACATAAAAACAAAACAAAACAAAAACTTGTAACTCAGAGAGAAAACAATAGCTCTGTTCAACAAGATTTAAGAAGGACAGTCTTCAAACTGCTACACAATCAGAAATGCAGGAGCAAGACATTACACAGGAAAGTTACCTAAGACAAGTGGTGAGGCTCGCCAAGGTTAAGATGAATATGCCTGTCTACAATGGAAATACAAGGTGGTGTAGCACAGCCAGAGGTTCAGGCCAAAATAAATAAGACAGACTATTTTACGGAAGGGAACTGAGGACTGTCACAGATGTTGCAAGCAGTCTAGAAAAAGTAAAGTTTGGAATGAGAGGTAATCCTGTGTGGAGTGAGATGGTGAGGAGAGGGAAGAAAGGCGATGGTACAAAGGCAGAACAGGCTTCTTGCCAGGCAGAGCAGGTGTACAGTGAGGATCCTAAAGAACTGTGTGAACACCAGCTGGTAGGTGATGTCAACTGTGAGTCAGTACAGGGAGGTTAAGTTCTTCAATATGCCTTTTACTTTCAGGATTTGGGAACTTTGTGCTATTTTATCTGTGAGGAAATCTCAAAACATAAACAGAAAATGGAGTAAATATAAAGCACAGAAACCTTGTTTCTGATCATTTCTGCCAACATCATTTTTTAAAGCTATGATGCCAGCTATTTAGACCAATCCTAAAACACTAAGGATTCTGGGACTTTAACAATGACAATGCAGTCCTGTTTACATTATTAACTATAATGCTCTTTCAAGATACTTTAAAATACAAGTGAGAAGGAACCAAATCAGAAATGTAATGTGGGTGCTTTTTGGTTTCTCATCAAAACTCACATAAAATTGCCTCTGTTGAGGGGAATGAGCAGGAACTGTGACAGCAGAGGTAGTTTTCCGGGTTATTTCTTCGCTAATGCAAAACTCCTTTACGGTAAGCAGATGCCGCTTTTCTTCCGCCTTCCATAAAGTCAACAAGCAAAATACGCCTCAGAAATGTCTTGTGATAATCACTGTTCTTGAGCAAGATGTTTCAGCTTTGACTAGACCACTTTTACCTCTTGGTAGCCCTAGCTTTGTGCCTGCCTAAAGGTTCACACTGGAAAAGTCATGTTTCCTCTTATGTTTTCATCTTTTTGTTTCTCTTTATTTGAGAGGTAGAGGGACAGATGGAGAACTCACACCTGCAAGTTGGTTCCCCAAATGTCTACAATGGTTGGGGGAAGGCCAAGGCTAGGCCAGTAACCAGGAATTCTATCTAGTTCTCCCAGGTGGGTGGCAGGAACCCAGCTAATGAGCCCTCACTGCTTCCTGCTGGAAGCCTCGTTAGCAGCAAGCTGCAACCAGGAGCCAGAGGGGGAAACTGCTGAACTCGGGCACATCAACACAGAATGTGGGTAGCTTAATCACTAGGACAAACCATTAATCAACACTTTTTAAAATTTATTTTTATTTGAAAGGCAGAGTTACAGAGAGTATCTTCCATCTGCAGGTTCACTCCCAAAGTGGCTGTGAAGGCAGGAGCTGAACTGATTCAAAAGCCAGAAGCCACAAGCTTTTTCTGGGTCTCACCTAGGGGTGCAGGATCCCAAGGACTTAGAGCTATCCTCCACTGCTTCCCCAGGCCACAAGCAGGGAGCTGGATGAAAGCAAAGCATCCAGGGCACAAACTGGTGCACATATGTGATGCTGGTGCTTGCAGGTGGAGCATTAGCTAACTGAGCACCAGGCCGTCAGGATGTTTTTGAAGCTTCTCGTAATATACTAAACTCTTACACACACACACACAAACACAAACACACACACACACACACACACACACACACACACAGGCTTATACTGTATATGACACTTTACAGCACCAATACATTCTATTCAAATAAAACCTGCCATAATGCACCAATACATTGTATTCAAATAAAACCTGCCATAATTTTGGAATTAGGGTTGCCAAGATTAATCAACACAAAACAGCCTGAGTATGAGAAAGGGAAAATAAGATAAAGGCAAAATAAAAAAATTATGTTATCTCATTGGTACTTGGGCAAAGGGGAAAATCCTTCAAAGGATGCATCTTCATCTAAGTCACTGACATAAAATTTCATGACATTTAAGTGTCTATATGCAGTATGGACCAAAACCTCAAGAAGTGCAATAATTATGCAGACTTTATAATTAGAATTTTGGCCTACTGCAAATGCACTGAGCTCGGAAAATTCATTTCTGGCTCAGCGAACTACAACACCGTGGCATCCTACAGGTTCCACACAAGACAGCTCCAGGTTAGCTATCAGATCTGTTGGCCAGCAGATCAAACTCTAGCTATGGCGCATCAGGCGCCATTTTGTACAGTGCAGCAAAGAATTTAAGACTACAGGGACAACAGTGAGCTACGCATGCACTGAACTCCACAAAAACTCACTGAGCTTTGTGCATTGCATTGATCCCACCAGAAAATAATACCATCTATGGCATCCTATGGGTCAAAATAGGTCTGTGTGGCCTTCAGATCTAACAGCCAACAGGTTGCAGCAAGATCACCACCAACAACCTAGCTATATCGGACACCTGCTGTCCCCCTAGTTCTGGGACCTACTCCAACTGGAAGTGGGAGAATGGCTGTACAGATGATGGTGCAACCTCAACACGGTATCACAGGAAGTGGAGAGTGATGAGCCAGGAGCTGGGACTGTGGAGACCATGGTGGAAATCTGACATAAGAACCCAGACCTGGAATTCACTGGGGGGAGTGGCACAACTGACTGCAAACAAAGAGCCATGTACCAAATGCAATAAGTAAAATCAAACTGTAGACCTGTGGGTAACACAGCTTAGAAACCTGCCCCAAGGAGAAGAATCTGATAACCAGAAATACAATGATCAAGAGCAAAAGAGACAAAGGCACAATGAATAAAAGGAGCAAAATACTTTCCCAACCTCAGAGTTCACTGAAGAAGACATCTAGACAAAGGGGAATACAAAATTCAAAACGCTTATTATAAAACTTCTTGTCAACAAAAAGAAGCACATAAAGCAGGCATTCAAGGAATTCAAGGAATATGTCACACTGGAAATTAATCAAATGAAAACTGATATCAAAAATCAAGAATACAGTAGAGCAAATTAAAACTACAGTGGAGAGTCCAAAACAGAATGAAGGAGGCAGAAGAAAGAATCTCAAAATTAGAAGATATTTCCTGTCACCAGGGGGAAACAAACAAAAAGCTTGAAGCAGAGCTGGATCAGGCTAAAAAAAAGTATTCAAGAATTGAAAGACACTATTTTATGCATCTACTGTAACTTTCATTTACATTTTACATTTTACACTTTGAACCTACTAAAGTCAAGAACAATGTCTAATTCAGCTCTGTGGGTACCAAGAATAGTAAAATAAATAAATAAATAAACACAACTGCTCACCAAAAAAATAGCTATTCATTTAATGATACAAATCAAATAAAATATCTAATATAAACTTCTTCATAAGACCTCTATAATTACTATAGGATGGTTTTATGTAAGTGTAGTCATGTTTTTATACTGTTTTTAAGTGGATATCACAATTCCTATTATTATGGCAATTTTTATTTCATTTACTCTCATTCCTCTGCTAAACCACTGTATTTTAAATAAGCTTTTAATTTAGGATTCTTTGGGGAAGATTCCAACATGGCCAAATAAGGACAAAAGCAGTCTCTTACCGTTTTCCCCTGGGATAATGTCGCACATATTCTCCAACATCATGAGCAGCCACAGCTAACACCTGGGGATCATCTGATACCTCGAGAAGTTTGGTCAAGATTCTGAAATAAACATAATCCAAGGAAAAATCAAGTTCTAATTTATCTATGGAACACAACATAGATATAACAGGTATATCCCTGAAAACTGACATCTGTATTTTTCCATGGGTTTCACTATTCCATCTAAATTAGCATTTTTCAGACCTTTCATACATATACAGCAGGTTATTACTTTGAGATTCATAACGCATATGGGAAACATTCCCGAAATATCAGGACTGCCATTCTCGCTCTCTCCAGACAGACTTCCAGAATGTCAGCTGAAGTTATTTCAGTAAAGCTGCAAGCAGATCTTTGCGAACCACATTTTCGTGATGAATCACTTGTAAACCTCAGGCCTCACTGTCAGCAGTCAAGCAAATTTCTTTTCAGAAGCCTATGGTCAAGTGAGTAGGTTGAGTTCTAGGCACACATATCACCCTCTTCACCTCAAACCTAACTAAAGCCTCAAACACACACTTTACAAATAGAATCGAAGTCCCAATAGTAAGCAATTGTTTCTTAGTTGACAGGATCCCAGAGCATTTCCTGATTCTCATGCCCTCCTCACACACTCTCCAGTGCAACTGTGCAGAGTAAAATTTCCACTGGAACTTGATAGGCACTTCCAAGAACAGGAGCCTGGCACCAACATCAGAGAAAGTTTCCTCTGCCACTGCAAGGACCCCTTGTACCTAAGAGATGCACAGATCCTAGCAAGTGAACTGGAGAGGAGATTGATGCTGCTTAGGACCCAAATGTCTGCAATGGTCAAAGCCATGAACTCAGAGCTAAATCCAGATACCTCATGTGGGTGGCGAGTATCCAAATATTTGGACCCTCACCTGCTACCTCCCAAGGAGTACATGAGCAGGAAGCTGGAAATGGAAGCAGAGAGGGGACTCGAACTCAAACTCTGAGATTTGGGCATGTCAACTGGCATCTTAGCAGCTGCACCAAATGCCTACCTCCCCCACACATGTGTAATTTTAACATTTCAAACTATCCAAAGGCAAGCTTGGAAAGTATTTTAGAATTAAATTTAATTCAAATGAAACATCTTAATAATTTCAAAGATGTAAATGTATTTCATTTTTTACTTTAACATTTTAACATTAAGAAAATATTTCATGAACCCACAAGTAAATTAAAATTCCTAAAATGAATATAACATATGTTCTGAATACTTCAACCCATGGGCCAGAAAAACACAGTTCTAATAAAAACCTGGCTGCCTTCTCTCCTTGTAAGTAAACATGTAAGAACACAGCTCTACTCATGTCCTGTTCCTAGCTGCTTTGGCATGACAATAGCAGAGATGAGTGTTTGTCACAGAGAATAAATGGTTCACAAAGCCTAAAATATTTTCTCAGGGCATTAACTGAAAACATCTGCCAATCCATGCCTTAAAGCAGGGACTTATGCTTCTCCACATAGCTAACACCCTTGCTATCCAAAATATGGCATGTAAACCAGCAGTGCTATCACCTGGTCACTTATCAGAAATATTCACCCACGGGCCCTACCCCCCTAGACCTACTAATGAATCTATTTTTGCAGGATCCATGAACACTGGTAAAGCACTGTCTGATTCAAGGAATGTTAGAAGAGGATGTGATACACATCTCTCCAACTGTACGAAACACAGAAGTGATTTTTATAGTTATCCCGCATAGCCACTTGGGCCTCTGAATATCTCCAGCAATAATGAAAGTATTAGTCTACAAACCTGCTGAGCAGGCTATTAGTATTTACATCATCCATGAAATGAACAAGGAAAAGAATTTTGTGATAAGAAAGAGTTCCCTCCAACTTGTCTCACTACTGTTGTTAAGTCAATAATATATTCATCAATCAAAATTTAAATTCTTGTTACCACATCAACCACACGCCATGATTTTGTCACATACTCCCATGGGGTCCAGACAGCAACATACTGCAGCTTTGTAGTTCAATTAAGCATCAATTCCAACTCTGACATTCGCTGAAAATGTATTCTTTCAAAATGTCTACTCACATTCAAAACAGAATTTACATTATTAGTCTACTAGATTATTCAATAAATTTGCATTTACCTTCTTTCACAATATTTTCCCCAGGTTCATTCATCTCTTTGTTCTTTCCCTCCCTTTGTCTTTTCTCTGTCACCACTGTGGCTTCTTCTATTTCAGAATATTTCCCAACTCAAAATATAAACTTAATTTGAAATTATGACTTACAAACTATAAGGCGATTAAGAATCCTGAGACATCCTAAACTAAGTCACAGGCTGGAGGATGGATGAACTGGTAAGGAGATTATATTGACAACTTTGGGTTAGAACAACAAAGACAAGAACTGTTTCAATTCCTTTCTTCCAGGTGAAGACCGGCTGTTAAAACGACATCGCATCCTGCAGCAAAACTAACCAACCAAGAAGCAGCAATCACGTCTCGTCAGGGACCATCATCCCCTTGTACCCACCCTTTGTACCTACAGCCAGCATAGGCTCCATGTAAGCAGCTCTTTCTTCTTCAACTTTACTTAAAAGGAAGGCTCTCAATGAATCAGTTAAATCTACCTGGACAGTATAATATTGAATCTTCTACTTTTGCCTATACCTACAATGCCATGATACACTTAAAAATCAGAATCTTTTTTAAAGATTTATTTTTATTGGAAAGTCACATATATAGAGAGAGCAGACAAAGAGAAAGATCTTTCATCTGCCGATTCAATCCCCAAGTGGCCACAAGGGCCAGAACTGAGCCCATTTGAAGCTAGGAGCAGGAGCTTCTTCCATGTGGGTATAGGATCCCAAGGTTTTGGGGCGTACTCAACTGCTTTCCCAGGCCACAAGCAGGTTGCTGCATGGGAAGCAGAGCACCTGGGATTAAGCCAGCACCTCATATGGGATCCTCATGCATGCAAGGCAAGGACTTGAGCCACTAGGCTACCGCTCCGGGCCCTAAATATCAGATTCTTAAACTTGTAACTGTTCCTAGGTCATAATTAGATGTAAACGTGGTTTTCTACAGATGTTGAAAGAAAAAAAATCCCAATGAACAATTTTTTTTAATAGAAATATTAGGTACAGGCTTTAATGGCACTGATTTTGTCAACTAGCTTAAAGACAGTTCTACTATGCTTTTCCTGTCAATCATTTAACCAGCCCATCAATCATTTCATACTGAAATTTAAAAATAAACCACCATTATCACATAAACAACAACAAAATACCACATGCCAGTGTTTCTGGTTACAAAGAAAAGTCACAAATGTAGAAGCAGCAGTCTGAAGGAGCAATAAAAATTAAAACCTAATGCCAGAAAACAAAATATGGACTTGGACAGGTTTCTATCGGCATACCATAATGAAGATACACATAATGTTTTGATAAACATGTGTTAAAAGCTTCCCTCCACTACACTAAATGTTTCCAAAGATAACATTTTAAAAACAGCCTCTAGGTCCTTTTACTGCTAAAATACCAAGATGACAAGGTAACGTAGAAAAGATTATTTTCTTTCATTTCCCATTCTCCAAATGTTCTGACAAAATCTATCAACCATGAATTTCGGGTTGACACACTTTAAATAAATGCAATGTATTACTGTAAATATACAGAAAATAAAATCTACAGAATGTAACTCTAACTAAGATCTCCATCAGATACATGTACCTTGCTCCTTTTAGATACCTGCTTTCAATGACAATAATTTTTTTAAAAGAATATACCCTGGAGGAAAAACCAAAAATAAAGAAAAACAACAATATTAAAGTGAAAAATAAAAGGAACAAATGTTAAATGAAAGCATAAAAAGAACATGGCAGTGCAGGAAGCTGAGCAGTAACCCAATTTATAACATAGAATTACTATGTCAGTATTTCTAAATATCAAATTCAAACTGTGATGTTCAATAACTCCAGTAGCCACAGAAGGCTTTTTCAAGTTAAATTGATCAAAATTAAATTTTAAAGTTCAGTTTCTCAGACACACCCGTAGCATTTCCAGGGCTCTTAAGCTAGAAACTGCCATACTGAGCAACAGAAATATAAAACTGCATCATCCCAAAATGTTTGACTGAAACTAAAACGCAAAACTATGAATTTAAAGGATTCGATCTGCAGGAACATGACAAATCAAATGCAGATGACTAAATGTAATGATTTTATTCTTGTGGTTTTTGATAATCCACAGCTAATTACAGTGTGAAAATATTAAATAAAAACATCCAGAAATAAACAATTCAAAAGTTTTAAATTACATACTGTTCTGAGTAGCACAATGAAATCTTCTATCTCACATCACCCCACCCAAATCGTGAACCATCCTTTTGTCTATTATATTCATGTTGCACACTGCCTTCTTGTCAGTCACTTAGGAGCCATCTAGGTATCAGATCAACTGTGGGAGGTACTGCAGCATTTATATTCAAATAACCCCAACCCAGTAGCCTAGTGTTCCATGTAAACACCTGTTGTCATTCCCTTCACTTCATCTCATTACATAAGTACTATACCATCATCTCATATCACCACAAAAAGGATGAGTTAAGTGCAATAGGAGATTTTAAAACAGAGAAAAATGCATTCATTAACTTATAGTATACTAAATAGTTATAACTATACTGTTTTTAATGACTACTGTTATTTCTTTACTGTGCCCAACTTATAAATTCTATCCTAGCTATGTATATATAGGGAAAACCACTATGTGACTCTTGAAATCAGTATTCATGGTTTCAATTATCACTGGAGGTGGATAATTTCACCCATGTAGAAGAGGGCCCTCTCTACGTTATACAACAACAAACACACATTCAGAATACAAACACAACTTTTATAAAATGAGAAAAAAAAGTAATAAAGCCATAGTCAGCACTTTTCCAGGAAATGTTGAGTCTAAAAGGCCAAAAATGCATGTAAAGGTGTTCAACCACGCAGTCACCAAGAAAATATAAATTAAAACCACACAATACCAACAATTTAAAGATTGAGAAAAATGTGTCACTGAATATTTGAAAAGAGGAATAAAAAACTTACTTTAAGAGTTCATAATTCTTTTCATTTAGTCTCACTGCATTCTCTCTCCAAAACTTCTCAGATTTGTGCACAGGACTCCACTCCAGTCTTCCAGATTTCAATTCTGAACTGTATTCATCAAATGAGCTATAAAAATGTTTACAAAATTCAAAATTTACACAAAGGCTGGATGGCAGTATCCCCTGGGAAGCGCAAGTTGCAGGGTTGGGAGTTGGCCTGGTAGGTGATCTATGGGCTCTCCCCTTCTAGGCTGCAACTCCTGGTGCTGAGCATGTGACCCAAGGTCGGGGCAGGTCAGGCTGGACAAGATGGCCGCACCAGTCGGCATACATGTGGTCCAGGTTGGGAGCTGGGTCAGGCTAAACTGAACTGTAGCACCAATGGGTATACATAGATGGGATGGGGGACAGGCCAGGCTAACCTGGCCTACACAAAACTGGGGTTGGAGTTGGGCCTGGTGATTATTGAAGGTCACCCCGAGTAAGTCACAACACCTGGTGGTATGCTTGAAAACTGGGCCTGGGCCATAGCACCCATCAGTCTGCATAAAAAATGGGGCTGGGGGTAGAACTCTCCAGGCAGAGGCACCCACCAGTATGTGCACTGGCTAGCATAGGTAACAGACCAAACCACCCTGGTGAAATTTCCTGGCGGACTCCCAGACTAGAGTGCTGGATTCAAACCCTGGCCACAGGGAAAATCACATGGTGTGCATGTTTCAGGACTGGGTCTCTTCAGTTTCTAATACCTATACAGTGGACAGCATGGGACAAATGACAGCCACTTCATCTAGGCCAGCAGAGGATGGAAAACAGAACAGATTGAACAACTCTCCTGGCCAAGCTTTGCAGCAAGTGTCTAGGTCTGTGAACGCACTAAGATGGATTTGGTCAAGCAACAGACCTTGGAAACGTTTTCTCAAAGACACGCAAGTAGCACTCTTGAAACATTCTTCCCCACATAGAGGTCTCTAACACATCATCAACGACCATCCCTCATGCTCATGTGCTGATCTAGTTTGACAGCAAGGAGCCAGCATCCTTAGGGTGTTTCCAGGCCACACCCCACAACAGCGGAGAGAGGAGAAAAAAAGCTAAAATATTTATCCCACTCACCTTTCTCCACACCTGATCTTTCCCACCCAAATCAGAGGCCCACATGGGCATGCATCCTTCTCAACTTTGTAAATAATGTTAAAAATAAAATTAAAAAACAGAAGCTATGCAAGTCAAAAAATGTCCAACAGGTCCAGCACTTGTGAATTTAGAAGAACAACACACCTTAGGTCCTGGACACTCTCACCAAGTTTTTCCAAAAGAAATTTGATATCTTCACTGATATCTTCATCATCATACTTCTGCTGCTCCAAATTCTCCAACTGCTTCAGAACTTTGCACTGAATCATGGCCAGAGCATATTCTTGACGAGTTTCTCTTTCAGTTGATTTTTCTAAAAAGTTCTGGATAAAACAAATAAATAATGACAAGCTATAAAATTGAGTAATATTCTAAGACCTCTGCATTTTCTTTCATCCTTCTCTGTTCCTTGTTTCCAGGTTTACCCTCAGAACTAGACTGTCACATTAACTTCAAATAAAGTAGAAATCAAGACAAACAGATAAAGTGGCAAAGGATATTTTAATAACACAAGTGACAATTGGCCAGGAAAATACAACATTAGCAAATTATTCATAATACAGTTTCAAACATTCAGGAAACAAACTAGCAGAAGGAAAAAGAAGAAATAAATCTACATACATACTAAAAAAATTCAAGGCAAACTGAATTAAAGGACAAATTTGTTTTGATGCAAAATAAATTTTGATGGACACAATAAATCTTTAGAAAATACATGGAAAAGATGTACACATAGACGCCAAAACCTTTTAGATTAGAACAAATGCATTTAACTCTATTTTCTACAAAGTTTCTGAAGTACCCTAAATTAAATAATAGCTACAGGTTTTAATAGCTCTCACAGCAATTAAGAGAAACAAAATAAAACCTGCACATAAAATATCTCAGTAACACTCTTGATCACCTGGACTAACCAACGTCTGTAGAACACTATCTCTCCTAAAAGTATGCACTCTGTGGTCTCTACATTCACCATGGCCAACTCTAAACTGAAAGTGGGTCTCAAATGTCAAAGAACTGAAATCTTACAGAATAAGAGTATGTGATTCTACACAACCACAGGTCTAAGAAGAAATTATCACAGCGAACGGCTTAACACTTTCACATGCTTGTCTCTTCCTAAATTTTGAGACCTACCCAGCCCTCCCGCCACACACCCACACACACTCTCAATAGCATCAGACTAAGAATCACATTTTTAATTTCTCCCTTCACCTCTAGTTCCTCTGTGAGTATTACTACAAATTATTCTCTTTCAGGACATCTATGATTCTTTGCTAGACTAATTCTTTAGGTTTTGGGAGGTTTTTTGTTTGCTTGCTTGGCTTTGTTTTTATTTTTGTTTTTGTTTTTTATTTGAAAGTCTGAATTTCAGAGAGAGGGGGAGAGGAGAGGTCTTCCATATGCTGGTTCACTCCCCAGATGACTATAACAGCCAGGCTAAGCCAGGCTAAGCCAGGCTAAGCCAGGCTTGGCCAGGCTTGGACCAGGGTGAAACCAGATGCCAGGAGCATCTTATGAGTCTCCAATGCGGGTGGTAGGGGCCCAAGCTGCTTTCCCCAGGTGCATGAGCAGGGAGCTAGACGAGAAGTAGAGCAGCCAGAACTCCAACCGGTACCCAAGGAATGCTGATGTCAGAGACAGTAGCTTACTCACTACGCTACAATGCCAGGCCCTCTTTTGGATTCTTTCAACTGTGGCAAACCCTGGCAACCTCTTCCCCTTTAAATAAACATTTTTCCTTCTTCCCCTCCTTTTGTGATGTTTTACTTTTACCCTTTTTAGTTACTTTCCCTCTCTTCTAACCTTCCATTACATTCTTTTCTTAATTTTAGAAAACTATCAAAGCTCTCTTGTTCATATGATCCTTTATTAATGTTGCTATATACTTGCTGCTTGGAGGAGTAAACTATATACAAAAAACATTATGTAATCTAGTAAACCAAGCCACAATATATTCTCATTGACATTTTTTTAAAGGTTTATTTTTATTACTTTTTTATTGGAAAGGCGGATATACAGAGAGGAGGAGAGACAGAGAGGAAGATCTGTCCAATAAGTCACTCCCCAAGTGGCCGCAATGCCTGGAGCTGAGCCAATCCAAAACTAGGAGCCTCTTCCCTGTCTCCCACATGGGTGCAGGGTCCCAAAGCTTTGGGCTGTCCTCGACTGCTTTCCCAGGACACAGGCAGGGAGCTGGAAGGGAAGCAGGGCCACCAGGATTAGAACCGGCGCCCATATGGAATCCCGGTGCATTCAAGGCGAGGACTTTAACCACTACACTATTATGCCAGGTCCCTCATTGACTACTTTTAAAGGTTACCAGTTATGGACAGATTTTCAATTTTATTGTGTGCTTACATACCAGGAACTTGATCCAGTAAAAGCTATCTGTCAAACTCAGAAAGCTGAGATGATGGCTAAATAGCAGTCTTCACTGTTAATTACCATTATTATTTAATATTCCCGGAACATTGGCAGAGATCTAATTTTCCAAGTTGTTCATTTTTTTTTTACTAGGAATATACTACACACTTATTTAAAAAAAAAAAAACAGAAGAAAGAAACTAGAAAGAAAAATATCACACATAGTGTACCCCTTACTGTCAGTTATTTTAGAATAATTCTTTTGTCTTTTTTTGTCATGGATAAGATTACACTTAGGGATTCAGGATGAAAAGGAAAACACACATATGCAATTTTTAACATCTGACAACTTACTAACTACATATAGGAACCCTTTATGATACCATATACTATGGCAGTGCTAGATTTATTTTCACTATAATGTTGGAATTTTATTAAAAATAAATAATAGTGAATAAATAATAATAATGAAATAACATATAGGAAAGGACAGCTAGATAGTAATTTTTAAGTGATACTATTCATTTCCATGTTAACTGCTTAGGAAACTTGATCTGTCAACCAAACAGAAGTAAAAGTCATACAAAGAAAACAAGAATAAAAGTTAAAAAGATATCTGATATCTTACTAGCATAACAATCAGTCAAGGGTGACTTTCTCACCTAACAATTTAAAAAATATTATAAAAATATCTTATGTTTTGAGAAGAACTTTCAAGTTTATGAACATACTGAAATTTAGAAAAAAGTACTTGCAATAAAAGAAAATAAGAACTCCCTCCCCATCCTTTATCATCTGTCACATGTTTTTCATATGGCTTATTAAAACAGATTAGCAATTTTAACACAATTGTGAAAAACAGATGTAAGAGGCTTTGAGGCACATGGATTCTCAACACTGCAGTAGCTTCAGGTTAACAGATCTTCAGTCTCAGAATTTTATCATCATAGTTTTAAATATGAGAACCAAATAAAGCAGTAAAAATTTCACAAAAAAATTTAACTCAGACAATGAAGAAATCAGTAACAATATCAGAAAAGCCATAACCACAACACCACTCCTAAAGGTTTCTCGCAGTGGTTTTGTTCATTCTTTTACACAGCCACATGCCTGGGAAGCAGAAGGAACTGTAGGCATTCAGAGAAAAAAGACACAATACACAGGCAAGCACAGGCAGACTGGCTAGCATCACTGTTAAGAGACTGAGTCATACCGCCCTAAGGTTGATTCCTTACTTTGCTACTTTCATATTCCTCTTTAATTTTTTTTTTAATTCAAAAGAGAAGTCAGGGCACAAGGCTTTGGCTTAGTGCCAAATCAATAAGTCAAAGCCTTGTGATTAAGGCACACATGAATGCGTAACTGTGCATTCCAGCTCTGATTTATAATCACAGCTTCCTCCTGATTCAGACCCTGGGAAGCAGAAGCTCAAGAAACTGCGTCTGCCACGCACCTAGGAGATCTGGATTTCATTTCTGCCTCATGGTGTCGGCACTGGCATTGCTCCTGGACCAGCCCCAGCAGGTGTAGGTTTTGGGGAAGTGAACCACAGTTAGTTCTCTCTCCCTTTCCTTATGAGGCCCTTTCTTTCTCCTTCTCCCATTCCCTCTCCTATACTGCTCTTCCTCTACAAAAAAGGGGTGGTGTATCTTACAAAATGAAAAGAGAAACAGACTTACATTCCATAGTCCCTCAGACTAGACAAAGTGTATGAGAAAGAAGCCAAAGTACATATAATGAATGTCTTATTTGAAGGCACTGTGCTTTGGTGGGTGGTATCCTATGTCTGTGAATACAAATTAGAGTCAGTTGACAATCAAAATGAATGAAATACTGATACGGTTCCACTCATTTAATGCTCAGAATAGTAAAAGCAAAAACTCTGTAAGTTTACGCTTCCAAAAAGTAAACAGCCAAGAACATCAGAATTCTTTTCCAAGAGCCAGACATACATGCTCCATTTACTTCACTACAAGTCACATGCAGGAGAGTAATCTATACTTCTACAAGAAAAAATTACTCACAGCACCAGTTTTTCCTTAATTTGTTACTGCTCTCTGCCTTTGTACTTCTTAAAAAGTAGTCATCATTCAAAATGCCAAAAAGGTTTCCTCTCTGAAGCCTTTTTCTAAAACCCTGTATTCTCACCCTCCACCTCTTTACACTGCCTTCAACATTGCACTGCAGTGACACCTTCTCACTGTCTATCTTCACCAAACTGGAAGACCTTTGATATTAAGCTACATTTTGGTCACCATTGTTCCATTGTGATGAGCATAGAGCCTAGCACACTCATTTTTATGGATTAAGAGACTGGCTGAGGTTGGCACGGTGACACATCAGGCTAATCCTCCACCTGCAGCATCAGCATTCCATAAGCGTGATGGTGGTTCCTGTCTGGGCTGCTCCACTCCTCATTCAGTTCCCTGCTCACAACCTGGGAAAGCATTGGAGGATGGCTCAAGCCCTTTGAATGCTTGCACTCACATTGGAGACCTGGAAGAAGCATCAAGTTCCTAGCTTTGGATTGGCTCAGCTCTGGTCACTGTGGCCCAAATGAATGAATCAGTGAATAGAAGATTATCTATCTATCTATCTATCTATCTATCTATCTATCTATCTATCTATCTATCTATCTTTCTCTCTCCCTATAATTCTGCCTTCTAAATTAAAGTATTAAATAAATAAATAAGCAAATTGTAAAAGAGACTAGTAGGAGGCCAGCACTATGGTGTAGCGGGTATAGTGGTTGCCTGTAACACTGAAATCCCATATGGGGACCAATTTGAGTCCCAACTGCTCTTTTAACAACCACCAACAGAATGACAGAAAACATTTACATATTATCCAACTAATAAAGAATTAATATTCAGGATCTATAAAGAGCTTAAGAAATAATAACAAAGCAGTCCAGTTAAGAAATGAGCAAAGGGCATGAACGGATGCTTTTCAAATGATGAAATATCAATGGCCAATAGATACATGAAAAAAATGCTCAGGGTCACTCCCTGTCAAGGAAATGCTGATAGAAATCATAAGGATGTTTTTCCTCACCCCAGTTAGAATGGCTAACATTCAAATTTAAGAAAAAATAGTAAATGTTGGTAAGGATATAGGGAAAAGAGTATCTTGATATACTGTTAGCAAGAATGTAAACTAATATAACCGTTATGGAAGACAATATGAAGATTCCTCAGAAATTGAAAAACAGATCTACCATATGATGTACACATTTCAATACTGGAAATTTATCCAAACAAAATGAAATCAGCACATGAAAAAGTTGTTTGTACTTCCCATGTTTCATTACAGCTCAGTTTACAATACTTAAGATACAGAATTAACCCAGATGCCCATCAAATGATGACTAGATGAAGAGAATGTGGTTTATACACACTATGCAATACTATTCAGTCACACACACACACAAAAACCAAGGTCCTATTTTTTGCAACAAAATGGATACAACTGGAATCATTATGCTTGATGAATTAACTCAGTCCTAAAAACATAAATATCACATTTTCTCTGATATTTAATTATTAATACAGAACATCAAAAGAAGTTTAGGAAAAAGGAGGAGGGGGACTTCCATAGGGTCACAGGAAAAAAAAAATGTATATTAAAGAGTGGCTTTTAAAAATATAAATAAGGGCAATTAAAGGAAAACCTAATGCCAAGAACACTTATTCAACTGTTGGTCGGCACTGATGGCACTGAGTATTGGCTCAACTTTACACTCCTTCAATCCCATCTCCAGTTCTTCAATTACCCACCCTAATCCCCTTTCTAGGCAGCTAGGAAAGGCATGAGCTTAAGATTGCCAACAGGCATTTTAATCTAAGGAATTTGGCTTCTCTTACACTATCTTTGGTTTTCCTTTTCACAGGGCCCTCTCTACCCCTTTCAATGTCACTTTTCAGTTACTGAAAATATGCCCTGAAACAAAACAAACAAACAAAAAGGTGGGGATGGGGGGGGGTGGAGAACAGACTAGTCAAGTTTTTGGCTCTGCAGCTGACAGACCACAACAAGATCATAATCTTAATCATGAGGAATTAATATCAAAACCTGCTTCCTCACAAATAATATAAAAATAACTTGGGCCCCTGCGCCGTGGCGCAGTGGTTAAGGTTCTTGCCTTGAACGCCCGGGATCCCATATGGGCGCCGGTTCTATCCCCTTCCAGCTCCCTGCCTGTGGCCCGGGAAAGCAGTACAGGACGGCCCAAAGCTTTGGGACCCTGCACCCGCACGGGAGACCTGGAAGAGGCTCCTGGCTTCGGATCGGCATAGCATCGGCCGTTGCGGATCACTTGGGGAGTAAATCATGGGACAGAAGCTCTTCCTCTGTCTCTCCTCTCTGTATATCCGCCTTTCCAATAAAAAAAAAAAAAAAAACTAACAGAACCTACTGAGAAAAACATCAATGAAACCTGATATTCTCAACACAGATTAATAGACTTAAGAATGTGAGTTATGGCTGTTGTTCTAACTCATGCCAGTTGTTGACCTTGTTTCATGGCTTCTCAGGGAAATGTATAGTGATGGAGTACTGGGGTCTACCATATCTAGATTTGAGGTTATAAGCAACATGCATCCCTGCTTCCAGACGAAAAATGGATTTCCAATGACACCGCTGGACATGTGTAGACAATGGGATGCTGGACTGTCAGACATTGTCTGTACCAGCAACGTCGGGTACACTTAAATAAGAGACTGATGGAAATATGATTCCTTATGAAGGACTACACCATTGTAGTAAAATGGGGAAAATCTGTCAGGAGGTGGGAGTTTGGGGGTGAGTCCCAGTCTATATGGAAAAAGAAAAAAAAAAGAATGTGAGTTACACTGAGTTTGAATCCTGTTCAGTCACTTCTAGCTTTTGGCAAATTTTTAAACTTCTGGTGGCTGATGACCACTGGGTGGAGTTCCTAGGGCAACTAAATGTGTAATACATTCCTAGTACAATTAAATCTGTAACACATCTAAAGGAATTAGGACAGTATCTGACAGAGAATAAGCTCTCAAAAAATATTAGTTGATATTGCACACTGGTTATCGAGAAAAGAACTCCCACACATGAAATTGGAAGCAAGAGCCCAGAACTTTCTAGAATCCTACATGAATGCAGGGATGCATGTACTTAACTCACCACATGCTGCCTCCCAGGCTGCACATTAGTACAGGAAACTGGAGGCAGAAGTAGAGTTGGAACTCAAATCCAGGTCATCCAACGTGGTGTCTTAACCACTGTGCCCAATGCCAACACCCACATCAAATTTTAAAGGTGACAAATAAAAAGGCTAAGCAACTTATAGAAGCAATATTCATGGAGGATAAAAATATCAGAAGATGTTCAGCTTCATCCTTTATTAACAGGATGCACATGAAATCAATTTTGTAAAACCTGAAAGATAATTCTAGTGAGTAGATAATTATGCATGTTATAAATATACAGCTAATAGAAATGTAAATTTGCACATTTTTGGAAGGTGGTTTGACATTATTTAATCAAAGAGGTTAAAAAAAGGTGTGTCTCTCTGACTTAGCAATTCCATTGCTGTAACTACATTCAAATGAAAATCATCAAAGTGGACAAACACACGTAAAGGAAACTAGAAAACACTGCACATGGCTCTACCAGCAGGACACTGGTAAGACAAACCACCGCCAAACAACACAGTACAATAAATGCAGCCATCAAAGAGAACGCTAAGGATTATTTTACCTAGAAACGAAAATATATTTATTCTGTTTTTAAAAAGTTACAGAACAGCATTTAAAATAAAATGCTGTTTTATTTTTAAATACTAACAAACCCATGCATTTATTTACATACTTCTCTCATCTTGTCTAGAAATATCTGAAATATCCGAAAGTTTTGTCACTATTTGGCAGACATGTGGTCTACCTTCTAAATTTCTACAATACATCTAAACTACTATTTATTTTGAACTTTTTATTGTTTACTTAAAGAAAGTATAAGAACAGGGCCCACATGATAGCATAGTGGCTAAATCCTTGCCTTGCATCTGCTGGGATCTCATAAGGGTGGCAGTTTATATCCCAGTTGCTCCATTTCCCACCCAACTCCCTGCTTGTGGAGAAGATTGTCTAAAGAATTGAGAACCAGCACCCATAAGACTCAGAAAAGGTTCCTGGCTTCTGGCTTTGGACTGGCTTAGCTCTGGCTATTGTGACCACCTGGCAAGTGAATCAGTGGTCGGAACATCTTTCTTTCTGTATATCTGCCTTTTCAATAAAAAATAAATAAATAAATCTTAAAAAAAAAAAAAAAAAAGGCAGACAGGCAAGCACAAGAACAAACAATGGGCAAGACATAAATTCTGGGCCTGAAGTTAAAGAAGGTTAAAGCAACCAGCATCCCATGTGTCAACCAGTTAATGCCAGAAATAGAAATCAGTGCTATTTTGCTTTATGTTTTTCATAAGTTTATACTTTTGTAACTACATGCAAGATAAGCAACTTTTTCCAAAACATCAATAAAAAAAAAAAAACATTTCCACCTGCTACATGTATAGCACAGTGGAAAATGTCACACAAATATTTGAACACACCAAAATATTACCAAAAAGGCCACTTACACGAAACGCTGCAAGAATGATTCTTGTTACTTTCTCTTTGACAGACTCTTGCAGGATATCGGACAGAACAGGGATGATATTGTAGCGTCGCAGGTGTTCACACATTTGAGGACTGAACGCCAGGAGCCATATTGAAAAAATCATTTGATACTGGAGTTGAAAACCACACTTGTTACTCAAAACTCCCATTATACTGAAAAAAAGCACATACATACACACATATAGAAAACTATTAATATGATAGCACAATAAGAAGGAAGAAACAACTACTACCTTTTTGCACTAGTGATACAACATTTTGATTTATGTCTTCAGCTTCTTCCAGCAATAACACATAGCTAGATTGCTACTCACAGAAGGCCATTTCCAGCACAACCCTTCTCTCCAGAAATCCTAGGACTTCAGAAAGCACAGTGCTTGCTATAAAGAACTAACAAGAGGGCAGAGACTTGCAACATGGCAGACAGAGAGGGGACATGGATACAATTAACAGGAAATCCAAATCGATAGGATACAAGCGACAAAAACGATGAGTATAACAAGACTTTAGCTTAAAATCTATAAGAAATGCTAAATTTCACTTCAAGAGCAGGTATTTGGTTGATAGTTAGCCATTAAGAATGCCTGCAATTCATTTCTGAGCACCTAGGTTTCAGTCTAGATTCTGGACACAACCTTCTAGCCATGGACACCCTGGAAGTTAGCAGACAATAACTCGAATAGTTGGGTTCCTTCCACCCACATGGAGGAGCCAGATCGACTGTCCAGTTCCTAGTTTAAGCCTGACCCAGCCTCAGCCAGCTTTGGGCATTTGAAAGTAAACCAGCAACGTTCTGTTTGTCATTCCCTGTTTCTCAATAAAATGTAAGCCAATAAGCAAAGTTCAGCTTCATTCAGTCACTTCTTCAAACACAAAATTTCAGTGATCCTTGGCATCAGCATTGTGGTGCACTGGGTTAAGCTATCACCTGCAATGTCAGTATCCTATATGGGTGCCAACACCAGTTGTAGCTACTACATTCCCAACTCAATTCCATACATTTTGCTTGGAAAGCAGCAGAAGATGGCCTGAGTATTTGGACTCCTACTCAGGTGGGAAACCTGGGTAGAATTCCAGGCTCCTAGATTCAGTCTGGTCCCATGCTGGTTGTAGCAACCATTTAGGAAACAAATCTGCCAAGACTCTCCCCATTTCTGTGCTAACTTGCCTTTCAAAAAAATAAATGTTTTTAAAATTTTCAGTGATCTAGCCTCTCCAGAAATATTATCTGTACTTGCTGCCTGACATGAGTGAGCTTTTTTTTTTTTTCAGGACAAAGTTAATCAGTTAGCAAACTAACAAATCTGTCAAATTATCTCTGTTAAAAATTGAAAAGTTTAGATGACCACATAGGTTGAAGGAAACTCAAGGACAGTGTACTAGTGCTGAAACCAAAACAGAAGTTTCAGGCATGGATTTGTCCACAGTGATTAACACTGCAGAGAGGTGTTAAGGGAGCCTAACAAATGTGCAGACATGGGGCAGGCATTATAGCACAGAGCGGTAGGCTTTCACTTGGCACACTCACATCTCCCATCTGAATGTTGGTTTAAGCACCTGCTGCTCTGGTTCCCATTTAACTCCCTGCTAGTGAGTACTGGAAGCAGGTAACTTTACAAAATGTATAGACAATGCATATAATTCTATTGAGGAAGTAAATCTACCACATTCAAACATTACTCATAAGAAATATTTTAATGAAGCAAAATAAAGATCCTGTTTACCAGGAAAGAAAAGTGAATTCACCTAAAATGGAATATGAAAAAAAAAATAAGTAAAACATACTACTAGTAGAAAAAAGAGAGGCCAAGATAAATATAAACAGTGATTAAGCAAATATTAGAGGACAACTTAGGTGGAAATACTAGCAAGACACTGCAGATCTTTTTTAAAAAGGTGCACAAAAATAATACTAAACATTTATATGATGTATATTAATATCCTTAGTGGTGGTAAGCACACCAACATACACAAACTGAACATAGAATTCTATATTTTATTTATCCCTGCTCTAGTTGCTAAGAAGAATAGCTAGTGTTCTTGACAAGTCTCCAAATACTGAGCTTTAATAACTGGAAAAGTCACATCTGGTCAACATTAGTATGCAAAAGGAATCACTGAATCAAATTTTATTATTTCTGCTTATTTTTTAATTGTTTACAGAGATTTTTAATTTATGGCTTTTATTCTTTCTTACCGGTCTTGTAAATAACAAAAGAAATTCTAATTTTTGTCAGAAGAATAAAATGCATTTTATCTTACAATTACCACATGGACTAAAGGACCATTTCCATAAGCCTAAGAGATGAGATCTTGATGATGTTGTATTATTTCATCAACCTAAATATGTCATCATTATTCATCAAGCCAATTATACTAAAAAATTTAAAACTAAAATGAAAACATTAAACACCTATGGAATCACCTAGGAATATGATTTAGCAGTGAAATGCATCATCATCTTTTCTTAGTAGAAGAGCTTTTTTTTTTTAAGATTTATTTTATTTTTTTTTTATTGGAAAGGCAGATATACAGAGAGGAGAGACAGAGAGGAAGATCTTCCGTCCGATGATTCACTCCCCAAGTGAGCGCAATGGCCAATGCTATGCCGATCCAAAGCCAGGAGCCTCATCTGGGTCTCCCACGCGGGTGCAGCGTCCCAAAGCTTTAGGCTGTCCTCGACTGCTTTCCCGGGCCACAGGCAGGGAGCTGGAAGGGAAGCGGGGCCACCAGGATTAGAACCGGCGCCCATATGGGATCCCAGGCGTGCAAGGTGAGGACCTTAACCACTGCGCCACTGCGCCACCACGCCAGGCCCAGTAGAAGAGCTTTTTATAAAAAGTAGGAATTGTGCACCCTCACCCTGTGTACACTGAGATTCCTTAGGGTGCCATTTTGTATCCTGATTGTTCCACTTCCCTTCCAGCTCCCTGCCTGTGGCCTGGGAAAGCAGTGGAGCATGGCCCGAAGCCTTGGGACACTGCAGCCACATGAGGGAACCAAAGGAAGCTACTGGCTTTTGGGTCAGCTCAGCCCTGGCTGTTGCAGCCACTTGGGGTGTAAACCAGTGGATGGAAGATCTTTCTGGCTCTCCTTCCCTCTGTAAATCTGCCTTTCAAATAAAAATAAATAAATCTTTTTTTTTTTAAGTATGGATTGTGACCCTGCTAGGCTTTAGAAAGTGGTTTGCAAGGTTGAATCTTGGCTAGCTCCCTGGAACTTGGCTGGTAAATGACTTCCTACACTGCTACAAAACGCTCCTAAATGATAAAGACAGGTTACTGCATCTGAATGGTTGTACGACAACATGGTTTATGCCGAATGCCTTACTGCTATGGTTTGAATGTTTGTTTTCCTCCGTATTTCTGCACTGAAATCCTAAACTCTAGCATGAGACCAGGAGAGCACAGGCCTCTGGGAGGTGATCAGGTCATCAGGGCAGAGTCCTCATTACTGAAAGTAGTGTCCTTAAGAAGAAACCACAGAGAGAATTTCGCACTATTGGGGTAATCTGAGAATACAGCCACCTCTGAACCAGAACGCAGGCCTTCATCACACATCAAATCTGCCAATGTCGTGATGAGATAAATTCTCACTACAGGTCACTCAGTCTACAGAATGCTGTTACAGACCTTTCCAGGAATCTGGAATTTTGGTATGTGGAAGGCAGAGTGTCTACGTGAGTCACCTCCAGTGAAAAGCCTGGGAGCTAAGTCCCTAATGGGTTTCTTGGACAGGAACCTCACAAGCGCTTTGTGTGAACCCCTTATGGGAAGGCCAGAGCATAAAGAAACTTCCACACGAATCCTTCCAGATTCAGTCTGTGTTCTTTCCCCTTATAATCCAGCTGGATATCCTCAATCCATTTTTGTAATAATGCTGAGGCAGGAGTATCGATCTTGACTGAGTCCCAAGAGTCTTCTGAATGAAATCCCTGATACAGCTAAAAATCCGGAATTTTTCACTTTCCATTCATAATGGCAATTAACAGAGAAAGGCATTTCATGGTCATGAATTAGAAGACGAGAGTAATGAGAAAAGGCCCAGCGCTGTAGCCTAGTGGCTAAGGTCTTTGCCTTGAATGCTGGTTCACACCCCAGTTGCTCCACTCCCCATCCAGCTCCCTGCTTGTGGCCTGAAAAAGCAGTCAAGGACAGCCCAAAGCCTTGGGACCCTGCACTCCTGCAGAGACCTGGAAAAAGCTCCAGGCTCCTGATTTTGGATCGGTTCAGCTCCAGGCTTTGCGGCCACTTGGGGAGTGAATCAACAGATGAAGATCTTTCTCTGTGTCTCTTCTTCTCTCTGTAAAAATAAAAATCTGATTTTCCAATAAATAAATAAATAAATCCAGGCCCAGCATGGTACCCTGGAAGCTAAAGTCCTTGCCTTTACATGTCCAGGATCCCAAATGGGCACTGGTTCTAATCCCAGCAGCCCCACTTTCCATCCAGCTCCCTGCTTGTTGCCTGGGAAGGCAGTCAAGGACAGCCCAAAGCCTTGGCACATTAGACACGTGTGGGAGACCCAGAAGAGGCTCCTGGCTCCTGGCTTCAGCTCAGTGAAGCTCTGGCCATTGCAGCCACTTGAGGAGTGAAACAGCGGACAGAAGATCTTCCTCTCGGTCTCTTCTCGTCTGTATATCTGACTTTCCAATAAAAGCAATAAGTCTTTTTACACAAAAAAGCAATGACAAAAACGGCATTCACTTTCAACAGTGATCGTGAAATTAGGCATTTTAAAGTAAAATTTTAAACTGTGCATCTTTAGATGAGTATATCAAGAATTAATTTTCTCAAACTCAAGAAGTGATGAACAACAATATCTTTCTAAGAACAGAGAGGAAATAAGTATTCTCATCCGGGGGCCTTTCATCATGGGAGATTTCAAAACAGAAGTTTGTAATAAGAAGCTACACTATCTTGTACAAGGACATGATGATTTTAACTTTTTACGATACATGTACATCAAAATTTACTCACTACAAAATGATTTGCTATGTTTAAATTCTTCTTAAAATTTCTAATAGCTGTGTCTATATTTCTAATTTTTGTTTTTCATAAAATAACTATACATACAGTTATGCATGTATATGTATACCTTGTGTGTATATATATATATATAATATGTATTTGGATTCAGATGGCAAATTGTCATACCTATTTTTGCTGGAATTTTGAAAAAAGTTAAGCAGAAATAGATTGAAATTTTTCAGATTATTGTAAGAACAATCACCACCTCAGTGAGTTAACAGCTACTGAGTAGACTGTGACAGTTCCAACTCATATGGACAGTCATTTGCAAAAGTAACTCACCCTGGGGTATTCCATACAAAGGTTCAAGGATCCATTAAGAACATGAGTCCCCTTCACAGGAATGTCCCTACACTGGAGAAGTACCATAGGATAATGACACCAGCATCAGACCGTTTAGTTAACTGTTGCCCTAAATTCTCATTATCAAGTAATCTGTTGTTCTTAATCTAGTTTCCTGAATGGTTTTGACAACAGATAAATAATGCCTTCACTAATTGGTATTTGGGTTAAAAGCAGCTAGAACCCTCACTGGGAAACAAATTGAATTTCTGATAGCAAAGATGGATTTTTCCAATTCCAGAATGTTTGACTGTTGATTTCGATCAGTTTGTTTAATCTGATTAGGCAACTCCTCAAACTTTTTATATCCACAGATGAAAGCCCCCCAAAGAAAGGGCTAAATCATAGGATATTAGAAAGCAGGTTTTTATTCTCACCTCTTTTCTAGGAAAAACCTTTTCCCATGGACTTTGCTTGTACTCACCACAAAACACTGGCATAATTTTTTTATCTGAATACCTGGAATTTGTTCTGTCCAGCAGTAAGTTCTTAGGAAGCTTTAACCTCTTCTAAAAGCACAGACCAAGCAAGGGAAGAAGAAACATTCAGACTAACAGTTACTGATTTCTAAGAGGGTTGGCACAGCCCATTATTAAACAGACAGGAAAAAATAAATAAAGCACTTTATTGAAATTATTAAATTTATTCATTTCTTTGCAAATGTCAAGGGGAAATGCTTTTCACTGTTATTCTGCACTAGCAGTAAGGAATACTCACCAGTTCACTCCATCTGCTTCCACCCAGGCAAAGCGGTACTCGTTGACCCGCAGCATCAGCTGCAGACACCCAGCAACGCACTGCACATACTGAGAGCTCTGTGCAAGAAGAAGTGCACAATTTTGAACTTGAAAAGCATGTAAAGTCACACACACATTCAACTAGGCGAAAAGTCTGGTTAGCATCAAAGGATCCTTTCAAAAGTTTGCTTTTTTTCTCTGCCTCTTAAAAACAAAGATGATTTTGTCTCCCAATTTAAACCTACACTATTCAAGACTATCTAACACACAGGGGAGATACAGCACAGTGTGGCTACAGCTTTGATGAAGTTTGATAAATAAATATTCTGCCTTGCAACATTTCACACACCCCTGAATAGAGGCACTCTGTGGAGAATACTGCTTCAAATAACTTCACAATGTTAAAAGGTAACAAAAAATTGATAGTGTGTGATTGGACACAGAACAACATTTGAATAACCTCACACAAGTTACTGACCTTTCTCTATACTGGGTTTCTTCTTCCTGAGGACAACCATGCCAAACATCATGAAGGGTACTGTTATGTTTAAGGGATGTGAGTCATTTAGCACAGTTAGGTATACTGGAAAAACTCAATAAATAAACTTAAAAGTGGGAAAAAAAAAAACTCAGAGGTAGGTACTTGACCTCGTGCTTAAATCTTTGGTTGGGCTGCCCATAACATATCAGAGAGCCTGGGTTCTAGGCCTGCTGTGCTCAACCTCAGCTTCCTGCTGATGGACAAGCTGAGGGGCAGTAGAGAGGTTCAAGCGTTTGGGTCTCTGTCATGCTATTGAGATGAGCTGAGTTCATGGTTCTCACCTTTGGACTGCCCCGGCCTGGCTGCTGTAAGCATTTTAGAAAGTGAACCAGCAGACAGGAGATCCCTGTTTATCTCCACCCTCTCAGCCTCTCAAATAAAAAGGGGGAAAAATAGATATGGCATATTAAAAAGTCAGATTAAGTAGTTGTAAAAGAAATTTATGGTTTCTAAAACTGTCAGTTCAATGGCATCATCTCATAAAAAACTGTGCTAAAGTTGAGACTTAAAATAAACAGGGATCAAACCCAAGAAGTTGCAAATCCCTGCATTCTATCAAAGAAAACAGCAATAGCTAGCCTGAACTCGTTCCTAAATATTTACAGTGAGCCTTCTAATCTTTAGGTAGAAATAAAAGGAAACCTCAGATCCTAGATTTCATAAAAATATGTTAGTAACACAAAAACGGAAGTTTTTAAAAATAAAGAACCACAGATGTATTATAAAATCAGAAAGCTAATACGTATGATGCTACTAAACTGAGTTCTAATTTATGTTAATTATTATTTATTTTTTGTCAACTCCTTCAAAGGCACAAAGAAAGAGATCTTGTTTTCACTGGTTCACTCTCCAAATGTCCTCAACAGCCAGGGCTGAACCAGGCCAAAGCAAGGATCCAGAAACTTCATCTGGATCTCCTATCTGAGTGGCAGGGCCCATGCCCTTGAGCCATCTTCTACTGCCTTCCAAGATATACATTAGCAGGAATGCTGGACTGAAGGTGTCCTAACAAGGAGAACTCAAACCAGCACTCTGATAACGACTGTGGGCATATAAAAGTAGTGACTTAACGTATTCCAACACCTGGCCTGTGCTCTAATTCAAGTAACACATAAAAATCTAAAACATCAAAAAATTCCAAGCACTAAAACACAAAAGTAGAATAATACTAACGCATCTGTTGGGACAAACATTGTCATGTTCCACCTATGGAGCAGTGAAGACAGTTTACATAATTATTAAGAAACATTATTTGCCTGACAACTCAAAACATTAGTGGAAATTAACAACCAAAAAGCACATTTGCAGCACTAAAACATTCTTCTATAGTGAGAATACATCACCAAGCAGAAACCACGAGTGAAGGATAATTTCAAATTTCTTATCTAGAGAGAACCTGAGCAAAATTTCCAGATTTGAATAAGTTGAAGAAGCAACCTGGGTATTCATTTCTCTTAAAACAGCAATGTGTTCTCAGCACAAAAATTTGGAGTTCATTCTTTCTTTCCTGTGTCCATTCACCATGCTATATTGAAATATTACAAGTACTGACATTTTTGCTATTTCTAGCTTGAGTATACATATTATAAACATGCAAATAAATTGGTGCTGGTCCCACAGCACATGGTACTCTCTCCTACTGTAGACTAAGAAGCAGTCCCCACACTATTCCAGTTATTCTTTTCAAAATAGTAATACCACTTCAAAATAATTGAATTCTTGCCTTTCACTGAGCAAAACAGAATGCATCACTTTTTTACTTAAATCATCTCACTAGTCTCTTGTAAAAATGATTCAATGATTTTTTTTCCAAAGAAAACATCAACCTTGGATCACAGCAGTCAGTTGCCATCTCTAATCCTACATGAGGACGATCCAATAGCTCTGGAGAAAAATCATACAAGGCCACAAACACGCAGGTCTGCTGTCGATGCTTGTTCCCAAAATCCTCACATTCACCACTCTCATCCTACTGCCTTCCCCTGCTCTCAGCAGAAAAACACAATACGCTTGCTAGCAATTCACTCAACTGCCAATATCTCACCCACAGCCTGACCTTCCAGTCACTCTTACCTGCCTGCTGCCTAGGGGAGCCAGTTGACCTTCTTCCTGTCCAAAGCCCACATTTCTACAAGTGTTTGTGTACCCTTCAATCTAGGGAATACTCCATTAACTGGACCCTCTCCCCAGGCTCACACTCCAACTCCTTACACTTCCCCCGAGAGCTCAAGCAAATTTGAATTCCTGGATGAGGTTCTTAACTGCTGCTTGCTGCTTATTTACTGAAAGGAGGACTAAGCAATTACTTGTTCACACAAACATGAACTTGTGAAACACGTAAGTGAAAATAAGTTCAAAGAACCAGTTTTACACAAAATGGTAGGAAACTGTCCCAGAAATATTTATGATGTTTCATAGCTATGAAAAGACTCATTTGTAGAATAAGCAAGTGTGGGCACACATATATTCTGATTAGGCTCATATCACAGTTGTTTACTAAAAACAAAAACAGAGGACAAAATGACATGTCAGAAGGGAAAAACAAATAGAATTTTCATACTTTGTTTAAAGGAACATATACTGATTTAGAAAAGTGACTGTCAATTATAAGTCCCTGCCAGGGTGGCTGAGGGACAACCCAGGAGGAGGCTGAGAAGGGGCAGCTGATAAGGCTGCACAGGGAGAAGAAGGCACCCCCTCCTCAGCCAGCTGTAATGTACCGATCCACCAAGGTCAAAGGAAGTTTATAACGCCCTAGTACATTCCTTTGTTCCCCAATCCCACCTTTGCAAGTCCCTGATAAAAACAACCCCTCACGTACCCAGGCCGCAACTTCCCTGGCCCACTCTCTGTACCAGAACAGTGAACCTTGCCCAGGAACGGTCCCAATAAAGCTTGTGTTCAGCTGTACTTTATTTTGTGTGGGTTTCTGGTTCTGAACATGAACTCAAGCCTTATACCAATATCCACTGAACTGAAATTCAGTATATCCTATGAAAATAATATATCCTATTACCCTACAATTCTACTTTAGAATTAAGTATTCTAGACATTACCACACATCACTTTCAAAAGACTGTAAAAGAATGTTCACAGCAATGTTATTCAAAATAGCCAAAAACTAGAACCCAGTAAGAGAGTGGATAATAAGAAAAAAGGAAAAGACAGAGAAAGAAGAGGACTAGAGGGAGTCCTGAACACTGGAACAGCAAGCAGAGTTCTGCTGTATTATCTAGGACACATCACTTAATCACTTAACCTGTTCAAAGCTGTCTGCTGATCAGCAAAGGAAGATAATTTCAGCTTAATCAAATCACTTTTATTTTTTAGAAAATCCACTATGAAACCAAAATCAGTTACTATAAGACATTAAAGAATTTTAAGGTATACTACTATTCTTACCTGATATTCAGAAACTAAATATATACATATATAGGTAGCAAGAATGATCTCAAAGTTGACATACTAAAGAGATCTTCCAGTCAATATCCACAAAATACTTAAAACTCTTACAAAAGTTGCTTCACTAAATTTACAAAAACATTTTCAACTATTATCTCAATCTCATTTGCTTAGTCATGTAATTTAATAATATGATCACTGGGGATCTTCCTATAAAGAAAAAGTACTACTGATTTAACTAAAAAACACTATTTACTACGTAATTATTGTTACGTGTATAACTCCAAGAACCTATTTAAGACACATTATTACTATTATTGTTTTGGATGCTATATTTGAAAATAAACTGTAAAAAGAAAATCTGACCTCAAATATTTAATCATTTTACATTCTTATGAGTTGTTGAAATATACGTCTAGGCAATCCTTCCTAAAATCCAATCAGAAAAAAAAAGTCATAGATTCTTAGCATTCCAAGTTTCTCTTAATGTTCTCCTATATGCACATGTTAAAAACTTAAAATGTTTGGAAAACATTAACTCTGGTAAGAACAATGAAAGCCAACCAAAACTACTCTAGGAGCTGTGTAATGGAGACTGTCATATCTAGTAATATGTCATTTAACTTCATGGCATTGTAAATTTCTATTTTTCTTTCTATTGTTGATCTTGTATCATGGCTTTTCATTTAAGGGAATGTACAGTAATTGTGTAATGGAGACTAACATCCAGATGTGAGGATGCAGTGTGGTGTGCATTTCTGCTTCCAGTCAAAGATGGACTTACAATGAAACTGTTCACTATATCTTGACAATAGGATTCTGGACTCTCTGCCATTGTCCATCCCCACAATGATGGACATATAACTGAGTATGAAGAACTATATGTTAGTAATGATATAGAGGAACTAGGTGGGTGGGGGAGGAATTTGGGGAGGGGATAAGGGAATATGGAACTGTATCATAAAGTTATAGCAATAATAAAAAAGGGTCAAGTCACACACACACACACAAAAAAACTGCCCTAGGTAAATATCACAGCTCCTGAAATATACACAAAGCGATATGTACAGGAACCTCTCCCCATTCTTATCTGCAAGAATACACTCCAAGTCCACCAGTGGATGCCAAAAACCAT